AGAGAAACATCTATGTGAGAGAATAACATCAATTGGCTGCCTCCTGCACCCACCCTACTGGGGATCCATTCTGCAAACCGGCCATGTGCCCTGACTGGGAATTCAACTGTGACCTCCTGGTTCATAGGTCGATGCTCAACCACTGAGCAACACTGTCTGGGTTGTGTGCATATGTTTTAATTCTCTTGGATATATACTAGGAGTGGAATTGCTGGGTCATATGATGGCTCTATGTTTCATCTTCTAAGTAACCACCAGACTGTTTTCCAAAGTAACTGTACCATTTTACTTCTCCATCAGCAGTGTATGAGTATTTTGATTTCTCTGCATCCTTGCCAAAACTTGTTATCATTTGCCTTTTGATTATAGCCTAGTTTAGTATAATGTTGAATAAAAGTAGCAGGAGCATTATCCTTTGTCTTATTGTTGATCTTAGGAGGAAAATATTCACCATTAAATATGTTATCTATGGCTTATTTCACTTAATATAATACCTTGAGAAAGTTTTCTATTTACACATTTATTCACTATTTTTATCATGAAGAGGTATTGAATTTTGTCAAATGCTTTTTTTTTCATATATTAAGACGATCGTGTGGTTTTTGCCCTATATTATACTAATACAGTGGATTATATTTATTGAATTTTGAATGTTGTATTCTTAAGATAAATCCCAGTTGATTGTCAAATTGCTGGATTTAGTTTGCTAGTATTTTGTTGAGGATTTTTGTGTCTGTATTTATAAGAAACATTGGTCTGTAGGTTTTTGTTTTGTTTTGTTTTTTTCTTGTTACATCTTTATCTGGTTTTGGTATCAGTAATAGTGGCCTCAGAATAAGTTGAAAGGGTCTTACCCCATCCTTTTTTTTTTTTTTTTTTGTCTTCGTACAGTTGTATGACTTTTGCATATGTGTGTGGGCATAAGAGAAAGGGAGAAAAAAGGAGTTTTCTTTTTACCACAATCTCCAAAATATATTCTCTCCTTTTCCAACTGCTGAATTCTCTCACCTAGTGTTTCTTAGTTCTATGTTAAGGTTTTTTTCACACTTCTCCTTCATCAGAGCAGAGGTATGCATTGCCAGAGAAACTTCATCTCAAGCAAAAAAAAAATAAGTTATTTATTTCTAATTTCTACTTGTGTATATTAATACTATGAATACCACTACTAGATTCACACCAATCAGTCCAGTGTCCCATGACCAGATTTAAAACTTTATGGAAATTAATAGCTTTGATTTTTTTTTTATTCTGTAGAAGTCCTATTAGGAATGTGCAATCTGGATATATTTTTTATTGTTGTTCCTTCACAAAAGAATCTATCAGTTCTCAATAGATGTAAATGTGTTTATTGAAAAGATAAGTGTTTAGTGAAATTAAGCATAATTTCCATGGGATATAATAAAAACAGCAATAATAGTTAAGATATATACTTACACTGGACTAAACAGTTTATAAATTTAGCATGCAGGTTTTCTGGTAAAATGACCAAAAAAGTAAAATCCCCAGTTCCAGTTAGAAGATAAAGATTGTAGAAAGTGAAATAAGACAACTATTCTCAGTCACTACTAGTATAGATCATTACAATTAACTGAGAAAGTCACTATTAGACAAGAATACAAGCCTATACACTTTGCTGTCTATGAGTGAACTGAATCACAGATACCAGTAACCAATCATTGACAGACTGGTGATTGGTGATGATGTTACTATGTAGTGATTTTGTAGATTACAGCATCAGAGTTTGTACTTTACATTTGCTAACAGTTTATATATTGGTTACTGAAATTTAAAAAAAAATTTTGTTTTTGTTTTTAGATTCACTTGTTGATAGTTACGTATTTGTTGATCATAATTTTTATCTTTATCTTCTTCCTCTTCCTAAATAACCCCCTTCAGCAATTCATATAATTCTGGTTTGGTGGTGATGAACTCTTTTAACTTTTTTTTATTTGTGAAGCTCTTTATCTGGCCTTTGATTCTGAGTGGTAGCTTTGCTGGGTAGAGTATTTTTGGCTATAAACCTTGAATATTTCTTGCCATTCCTGTCTGGCCTGCATGGTTTCTGTTGAGAAATCAGCTGACAATCGTATGGGTGCTCCTTTATAGGTAACTACCTGCTTTTCTCTTGCTGCTTTTAATATTCTCTCTTTGTCTTTTGCTCTTGGAATTTTAATTATGATATGTCTTGGTGTGGTCCTCCTTGGATTCCTTTTGTTTGGGGTTCTGCGGGTTTCCTGGACTTGAAAGTCTATTTCTTTCCCCAGGTGGGGGAAGTTTTCTGTCACTGTTTCTTCCAGTATTCTTTCGGTATCTTGCTCTTTCTCTTCTTCTGGAATCCCCATAATTCTAATGTTGGTTCACTTGAAATTGTCCCAGAGGTTTCTTACACTATCTTCAACTTTCTGGATTCTCTTATCTTCTTGCTTCTGCAGAGGAGTGTCCTCTGGCTCTTTGTGTTCTAAATCTTTTTTTTTTTTTTTTTAATTTTTTAAAAATATATTTTATTGATTTTTTTACAGAGAGGAAGGAAGAGAGATAGAGAACTAGAAACGTCGATGAGAGAGAAACATTGACCAGCTGCCTCCTGCACACTCCCCCTACGGGGGATGTGCCCACAACCAATGTACATGCCCTTGACCGGAATCGAACCTGGGACCTTTCAGTCCGCAGACCGATACTCTACCACTGAGCCAAACCGGCTTCGGCTGTGTTCTAAATCTTTGTCTTGATTCTTGTGATCTTCCAGTCTGTTTTTAGGACTTTGTATAATATTTTTTATTTCAGACAATGTTTTCTTCATTTCTAGTTGATCCCTTATTATTTCTAGTTGCTCCCTTTTCATATCCTCATAGGTCTCATTTATTTTATCGACCTTTTTTAGGATATTGTTGAATAACCTTATAACTGTAGTTTTGAACTCAATGTCCAATCTTTTCTTTTCCTCCATCTCCTTCCTTTGTGTCCTTCCTCTTGTCTGCATTTTAGTTGTTTCCCTGCTAGGTGTTCTGGTAGAGCCCAGTAGCACAGCTTTCCCAGTTACCTGCGGGCAGTCTTGGTGTAGCCTTTTGTGGGCTTGTGTGTGCAGTCTTGTTATTAAGCCTTGCTTATTGTTGGTATCACTGGGAAGCGTTGATCTCCAAGCCAATTGGCTGTGAGGATCAGCAGCATCTCAGCTAGGAGGGTTTCTGTACTCCGCTTGGATAGGGCAGGGTCTCCGGGTAGCACAGACAATCTTTGGTTCCCTGTCAGTCTCGCCTTAGAAAAGTCCTGTTTGTGGAGAGTTTCGAAGGATTGGTTGCAGGCGTGCGCACCTCTTTGGTAAAGGTGCAGACAAGCTTTGGATTCCGGCCAGTTCCTCCTTAGAGAAAGCCAGCCTCTGCGAGAGCTTCTGTGCTCAGCCACAGATGGGGTGGAGTCTTGGGTTGGTGCAGACAAGCTTTGTTTTCCCTTTGGCTCCTCCTCAAGTCCCACAATAATGGCCACTGGCTTCACACACCTCCGAGAGATCTCTGCTCACTGTCTGATGTCTGGCCTCTCCCTGTCTGGGGCCTTCTATCAGAACAATAAGCTGATTCTGTTTTCCTCTCGAACAAGAAAGCCAGCCGCGCGTTAGTTGTCCGCCCTCTCCGCACGCCAGGAGTAAGCCAGTAGCAAACTCAGGCTGGCCTGCCCTCTCTGCGCGCCGGGAGTAAGCCAGCAGTAATCTAGGTCTGGCCCTTCCTTTCTGCACGCCGGGATTAAGCCAGCGCCTTTTCGCGCACACAGTTCTCTGTACCGTCTCAGTTCCTGAGGTTCAGCGTGCCTTCTTTCTCCTTTCCAGATGGCAGAGCCTCCTCTCAGCTAGCCATCCCACGCTTCAGGGCAATGCCTCCTCTGTTTTCCAGTTCTAAATTTAAATTTGTTGTGTTAGGCTGCATTTGGGTGTCTGCCCTATGCCACCATCTTGGTTTCTCCCAGATATGGTTCTTTTTAAAATATATGTATTTTTATTGATTTCAGAGAAGAAGGGAGAGAGAAATAGAAACATCAATGTTGAGAGAGAATGATTGATCAACTGATTAGGGGTGACCAGCACACCCCACCTTGGGGATCAAGCATGCAACCTAGACATGTGCCTTGACCAGGAATCAAACTGTGACCTCCTGGTTCATAGGTCGACACTCAACCACTGAGCCATGTAGGTCAGGCAGAAATGGTTTTTACAATTTTTCAGATTATAATTTCTCATAGACTTAGGCTTAATGGCACACTGTTTTATATTGAGCCCTGAATATTTTCCAGCATACAGTAATACCACCTATATAATAACAAAGTTGTCATATTATTCAGATTGATTACCAATTTTAAAAATTCTTATTTTGGAGTGAAGGAATTGAAATGATTTGTAAATTGGTCTTTGAATCCTAAAACTCTATATTCTTTGACTTTTGTATTAAAAGCCCTCAAATTTAGTATATGTTTATTTGGGGGATTAAATGCTTGTTTTTAAGGGAATGTCTAAGGTTCTCAGCAGTATTTATAAGTTAGAATCTTAGAGTTTAAAACCTGACTTTGGGTTAAGCTCTGGGAAGGAAAAGATGATTCATAGGCACCTACTTATCCCACGTGAACCAAGGAGCAGATACACTCTCAGGTTCTCAAAATAAAGACTGAGCCAAGTACTATCTCTTGAAGTCTTATTATGTTTTCTGTGAAGTGTCAAAAGATAAAAATAAGATTGTTTGACTAACATTCAAGTTTCATGAGTGGATGTGTATAATGCATGAGAATTTGGATGGGTAAATATGTATAGCATAATTGTTTTAGAATGATGTGCTTTCAGAGTGATTGACTCACTAGGACTGCTGAAATAAGCAAACACACTCCAATTTAATTTGAAATAATTGGGACATTGGCTCTGTTGCACTTACTTTAAATGTATTTATGTCTCACATTGAATGGATTCAGCTCATCAGTGGCATTGCATTGAAGGCATTCAGAGACTTTTTTTTTTATTGCAGGTAGAGCGGGAAAAGGCCATTCTTCTGGCCAATCTCCAGGAGTCACAGACGCAGCTGGAGCACACCAAGGGAGCATTGACAGAGCAGCACGAACGGGTGCACCGGCTCACGGAGCACGTCAATGCCATGAGGGGCCTACAGAGCAGCAAGGAGCTCAAGACTGAGCTGGATGGGGAGAAGGGCCGGGTCTCAGAGGAAGAGGCACATGACTATGAGGTGGACATCAATGGCTTAGAGATCCTGGAGTGCAAATACAGGGTGGCAGTGACCGAGGTGATCGATTTGAAAGCTGAAATTAAAGCCTTAAAGGAGAAATACAATAAATCTGTAGAAAACTATACTGAAGAAAAGACCAAGTATGAGAGTAAGATCCAAATGTATGATGAGCAGGTGACAAGCCTTGAGAAGACCACCAAGGAGAGTGGAGAAAAGATGGCCCACATGGAGAAGGAGTTGCAAAAGATGACCAGCATAGCCAACGAAAATCACAACACCCTTAACACAGCCCAGGATGAGTTGGTGACCTTTAGTGAGGAGCTAGCTCAGCTTTACCACCATGTTTGTCTGTGTAACAATGAAACCCCCAACAGGGTCATGCTGGACTACTATAGGCAAAGCCGAGTTACTCGTAGTGGCAGCCTAAAAGGGCCCGATGATCCCAGGGGACTGTTGTCTCCACGGTTAGCCAGGCGGGGTGTGTCATCCCCAGTAGAATCAAGGACCTCCTCTGAACCGATTACAAAAGAAAACACAGAGGCCAGCAAAGAACCAAGCCCAACCAAGACCCCCACCATCTCTCCCGTAATTACTGCCCCGCCGTCATCTCCAGTATTAGACACAAGTGACATCCGCAAAGAGCCAATGAATATCTACAACCTTAATGCCATTATCCGGGACCAAATCAAGCATCTGCAGAAAGCCGTGGACCGGTCCTTGCAGCTGTCTCGTCAGAGAGCAGCAGCGCGGGAGCTGGCCCCCATGATCGATAAAGACAAGGAAGCCTTAATGGAGGAGATCCTCAAGCTCAAGTCCCTGCTGAGCACCAAACGGGAGCAGATCGCCACCCTGAGGGCCGTGTTGAAAGCCAACAAGCAGGTGATCTCATCCTACTGACCACGCATGCTAGCCACCGCCTTCCTAACGCATTTAGTCCTTAATGTTTTTGAGTGTCCCACTGTCATCAGGATGAGAGTTCAGATTCCTGGTCAGTGAGGAAATAAAACTAAGTTCCAGTACCAGGTCAGAATGTAATAATTGTTTTTCGCTCAGTGAATGGAAACAATAGGAGAGTCGCTATGCTCCATTAGAGGTAGAAGTGAAGAAATTAAAGCAGGAACAAAAGAGAGGATGCATGCAGACATAGAAAGGCTGTTCAGGCAGTACTTAGCTGGAGACCAGCTATCACTGAGTATGAAAACATGAGGTGGAGGGGAGGCAGAATAGGCTGGCATGGTAACTTACAACAGGGAGATGTAGCAAGAAAGACACCCTGGCAGGCAGCCAGAGCAAACAGAGGGGAATCACCCAGAGAGAGAGAGATAGAGAAACAGGTAGAGATTGAGGTAACATGTGCACTAGCTGTGCCAGTGACTACATATCTGAAGTTTAGTTTCAGTTGGGATATTAATTCTCTTGGGTTAGAACTTAAGCAGTAGAGAATTTTTCCTAACCACAGATCTCATCCTCTGGAATAAGTAAGGATGCTACCACAAGGCCCTACCTGCCTAATTCCAAGATCTCCTTGATGACTGGATTTGTTTCCCACCTTGAGTTTTACCTGGGTGACTATCCTGTGAAATATAGATAGGAAAATATTTTTAACTTTTCTTTAGTTTCTGTGGAAAATGAGCCTTGAAAGATAGATTTGAGGAGGGTGATAAAAGGGTGTTGAAGAGAAGCAACAAGGCATCAGATAACTTCTTACAAATGTCAGCTGGGCTAGTGTTAGAGGTTCATTTCAGATTCAGAGTTCTTCCTTTTACCTTTGGGGGAAACCACACTATTATTTTGTCATCTATGGTGCAGCTCTGCAGCATTTTCATCCTCAGTTCCCATAAATCCATTCATATAATTTGGAGGTCTATACCACAAACAGTAACATTGTCCACACTATGAACATGTTTATATAAATCTAAGGGTGAAGTAGGTCCTACTTTTGTGCTATCAGTTCAGAGAAATAGAAAAGATAAAGGTGAATGGAGAATTTGTGAGAGATCTGACTCCGATTTCCGATCAGAATTAAGGAATTTGTTATCATAAATCCTGCTACAATCCAAAGACCCAGTGATTTAGAGTGGTCATAAATAACCAATACCACATCAGATAAGACATCCTTTTTCAAGGACATTATATCCAGGGTATTTGTGATAAAACCATTCAGATAATTTCTCTGATTTCTTTCTGAAGGTTGAATATTAACAACCTAGAGACCTAGATCTAATAAGAAAGTCAAAACACATAGCTGACACAGAGGTTAGATAATAAGGATGGTTGATCAGCCAAGAGAGATGATTTTGTGAGCAAGCACTCATTGATTACATATTTCATGGCAGGCAGGCAGTAAGAATGAAAAAATAAGTAACTAGTCATCTAGTTCGAAGGAGTTCAACAATGCCCAGAACTGTCTACAAGATAATACACAGCAAGCACTTAAGAATGGCATAAACAGTGCCATAGGAATTCAGAGCAGAACAAAGCATTTCTGGCTCTGGTACCATTTGCATTATGCTAACGTCATAGCCTTTATGGACTCAGTAAATTAAATGAGAACACATTTCTAGCCGTGCATTTAGTTTACATTTTAATGATGCTGGGCCTATTGCTGTGATGCATATATACCGTAAGTAGCTTCAAGTGTCTACAGACGACATTCGTTATATTTCTGCATGTAGAATGTAAATTATTAAGGCTAAGTGAGAATTCTGGGATATAGGAAAAGGAATTTTTTAAATATATATATTTTATTGATTTTTTTACAGAGAGGAAGGGAGAGAGATAGAGAGCTAGAAACGTCGATGAAAGAGAAACATCGACCAGCTGCCTCTTGCATACCCCCTACCAGGGATGTGCCCGAAACCAAGGTACATGCCTCCAACAGGAATCAAACCTGGGACCCTTCAGTCCTCAGACTGACGCTCTACCACTGAGCCAAACCGGTTTCGGCAGGAAAAGGAATTTTTTATTTTAAAAGTTTTCTGCATTCTCTATGAATCTTTTAATATGATTTAGAAATTTAAAAAAAAATTTTTTTGGTAAGCACAGTGTCTTCTGATGAACAAGCAAATGTTTATGAAGTACCCTCTGTTTACTAAACTGTGCTCGATGCTAAAGATTCAAAGACTCATCCAGGGCCCCTGACCCCCAGAGGAGGACTCACAGACCAGTGGGGAAGTCAGAATAGAAACAGGCCATTACAGTTTGACGTTTCCGTGCTGTAATCGAGTTAGGGGAACATTGCAGAGGAAGTCACTAATGCCTTTTAGAAGAGTTAGAGAAAACTTCATAGAAGGAATTATTCCTGTGTCTGTTCTTACGAGGTGAGGAGTTGTTTTCTAGAAGAGGAGGAAATTATTCCAGACAGAACAGTAGGCGGCAGAAGCACAGAAGAGAAAGATATATTTAAAGAATGATTTTGAAGGTCTCTGTGGCTAGAAACAAGATTTTTATTTAGAAAGTAAAATTTGGGAGTGTTTGAAGAATATAGCAAATGCTGCTGATGCCAACAAATGTACTAATGGGTTATACATAGACACTTAGAATTACTTAATTCTGAAAAAGTGTTGTACAGTCTGGACAAATAAATCAACATGCTGAATCCTTTGGGGGCATTTCTCACAAATAATAAATAACTTTGTACTTCTATTTCAGATCTTGTTTTTCTGTTGTTCCCCCCACTCACCCTCGCCACTCACCTCTCCTTAGGTAACTGACCATAAGGCTCCATATGCTTACAAATTTGTTACATCTACATTTGCACAACTTAAACTTAACTATCTGTTCTAAATGGATATGTGCATAATTTCTTTTTAAAAATTTTAAATAGCCATTTCCCCAGGTCAATTCCAAACAATTTTCTGAATTTATAATATTTCTGAAGATTCCACTAAATTATAGCACTACAGGACATATTGAACTATTTTATGAGTAATTTCTCATTTCAATTTGAACTTAAATTCAATCAAAACTAATAAGGAACTACTTTATAATCAAAACATGAACAAACTACCCCATCCCAACATTGTTTTAATTTAAAAAGAATCCATTTACCTCCATAGAAATTGTGCATTGCTTAAGAAAATTGAAGTTGTCCATTTCAAGCACAAAAAGAAATGTTAAAAACCAGGGTAGTCTTCCTGGGAAATCATATTAGTAATGGATTTCCTTTCATTACTAAGGGACTTTTTCATTAGTATTGAATATTTTTAGACAGCAGGAAAGCTATAGTTGGCAGTTTGTAAAAATGGTATGTTCTCAGTTTGGCTTCAATATGCATACCATGTGCTATGCACCTAACAGACAATCCTTAAATATACATTCATTTTATTAATAGATTCACTCAACATTTTTAAATTTTAGTTCCTGCCATGTGTCAAGCTTACCTATTCTTAAAACTTCTGACATGTCCAAATTCAAATAAATATTTCAGTTCATTCACCATTTTGGAATTTTTTTCTTTTATGGGCATTGTGAAGAATTAAATTTGACTATATTTAAATTTGATTATTTTTATTTTCTGATTATTAAAATCTGATTAAATTTGAATTTTTTGAAGAAGTTGTATGTAAAGGCATCAGAAATCATTGGTTCTTTGTTAATTTTTTCCTTAAACATAAAATATGGATTAATAGTTTATCAGATGCTCATCATAAATTTCAATGGCCTACATCAAGCATATCAAACTCAAAGGCAACACGGGCCAGATAAACAAGGCTTAAGTTTATGTGGGCCACAAAAAAAAACAAAAGCTTCAATTTTCATAGAAATGTAGATTTATTTCAGTGGAGACATGCTTTATACAAAGGGTTGAAATAAATGAGTAATCATTAACATAAAATAATAGAACATTTTAATAAAAATTAATATTTTTCTTGAACATTAACTTACCAGACACTGAAAAATTACATAAATTAATAACTGTAACGCAAATAAACCTACTTTTCTTGTTCTCCAAAAGCGAAATATTTCCTGTTGTGCACACCAACCAAGTCAGTACTAGACTAATGACGTAGCAATCAGCTGCTAAAATATTCGCTGCGTGGAGAGAAATGGTGCACCTACGCTTAAGGCCATTAAGAGAAGTGAATGCAATACTAATTTAGTAATCAATCAGCAAACAGTTGTAGTTCTTTATTAACAATTATGTATAGCAGCATATTATAAAAATTAGGTTATGAAATTTTTATTAAAACGTTTCTTACATACTGTTATATTGGCTGGGCTGCGAAAATATTTGTTATGGGGTTGCATGCAGCCTGTGGGCCGAGTTTGACATGCTTGGCTTACATCTTTGTTTTTGGCCCACAGAGCTCAGGTGACAAGAATATCTGAGTTCTATTGCATTTCAGTTGGAAGCAGTGCTTTTCCCCTAACTTTTCGTTGATAAAATTCTTCTTGTGTAAAATTTCATTTTGGCTTCTTCATGTCTGAAAAATCATACCCTCTCAACAATCTGCATTAAATATTTGCTGAACTATCATTGCCTTAGTTCTTAATACTGATGCAGGCAGCTTCTAGGGAAATCTCACCACACGGATTCACAACACATTTTGACATTAAAGGGAAACTGCCTTGAATCCAAAATACATATCTATATTTATATAAAATATAGCCAAGTCCATTTCACCTCCATTTATGAAAGAAAGTAATATTCCCAGCATGAAGAAATCTGTGTGATAGATTTTCCTGATACGAAAGTTGTAAGCATTGTGATCTTTCCGCTTTAGACAGCTGAGGTGGCACTAGCTAATCTCAAGAACAAATATGAAAATGAGAAAGCGATGGTGACTGAGACGATGACAAAACTTAGAAATGAACTGAAGGCTCTGAAAGAAGATGCAGCAACTTTCTCATCCCTGAGAGCAATGTTTGCAACAAGGTAATCGTTTTCTCTTCTAAGATTAGGTGTGGTACCTGGGGGAAAGACTTTGGAATTCACACGGGTATCTTTCTGCATGCTGAGTGTAAACGTGAAAAAAGATTCCACTCTTGACAAACCTGAGATACAAGCTTTCGTGCTGTTTTCCAGAGCCCTCTACTGGACACACTGGATCAAGCAATTCCTTTACACAGAAGTATGTTAAGTTAATACAAGAGACATTTTTTCTATATTTACAATAGAACTTAATGTACCAAAAAGAATTAGAACACACAAAAGAATTCTCCAACGAGGGGAAAGTCCTATTTGCTAAAGTAGCTAACTATTATCACCATTGAAATTCACTATCACCAAAGTGCTTATCATTAATAAATATTGTATGAGAAGGATACCATTATAATGAAGATTAATATTCATCATACCAGCTAATCACTTAGACTTAAATACACTGATGAAACTATAACTTCTAAAGTGTAATTATCTCACCAAATTTTACTACCTCCCTCCCACCAGTTCCATTATCTGGTGCCACTGTATTTTGTTTTTCAACTTGAAGTGATTATTAAGAATCTGTTGATTCAAGGCATTCAAAATCCTGAGATTCTCAATATGTGACCTTTTTTGCTATCACAATGTATTGCCAAAATAAACATAGTTATATATCTTATATGATGCAATCTTGATATAAGTTCACAAAGCATCACTATGCCTTTATTTGCAAATTCATTAAATAATTTACATGTAGCTGATATCAGAGTAAAACAAAATCCTAGGAACCTGCCCAGCTTTCTTTGGGTGTCAGGAGAGAAAGGCTCAAGCTCACACTTTGTGACTGACTCTCGGAGGTGGCAGTGAGGAGACTGTGTGCCCAATGGAACCCGGGGGGGAGGAAGGGGGAACTGGGACTGAAGCATAAGAGTTTAGGGAGAATAAATGTATCTCTGGCCACTGTGAGGGGAGGCAGGATAGAGAATTCGGATAGTGCACGTACCCCTCACTGATGAAAGAAACCAGTCAGGATGATGTGTAGAATAAAGAACACAAATTTCCTCTTTGAAAAAGAAATCAGATCTTTTTAAAGGGACATTGAAAGTTTTAATCTGGTTTATATAAGAACTAGGCACCTGTTGCAAGAATATTCCTGTAAGACTTCCTGCCTTCCGCCCCTCCACCTCTCCCGACCCCCCCCATCTCTCCAGTGCGGTGGGCAGGGCGCCTGTCCCCGCCTGCCCCATCACACCCGCAGCCACCGCCACCACCATCTCCATGGCTACAAGCACTGCCACCACCACTGCATACCTCACCCCACACACCTAACCCGCTGCCCCCCGCTGCTGCCGCTGCCTCCCCGGCCATGCCCACTGCTGCCTGTGCCCCACCCAACCTGCTGCACCCGCTGCCTCCTGCTGCTGCACACCTCACCCCACCCCGCCCCACACGTGTTGCCAGTGCTTTCCCTCCAGCAGCCACAGCTGCCTTGCTTTCCACTTTCCCTCCCTCTTCCTTCTATGCTGTCTTCAGTCTTCACTCCTCTCTTCCTCCACATATGCAAATTAACCACCATCTTTGTTGGGTTAATTTTGCATACTCGCTCGGATTGGCTGGTGGGCATGGCTTGTGTGGCAGAGTGATGGTTAGTTTGCATATTACTCTATTATTAGGTTAGATTATTTCCCCCAAATAGTGCATTTTTACAGAAATTTGTCTTATTTTTGGGATAGTAATTGCCTTATTTGCTCCAGAGTATTTTTAAAAAATATTGTTATCTGGCCAATTTAATAAATCGAGGATCCTGAAATTTACATTCTATTTTACTAAGCCCTTGATTTTCTTATGATATCCCTACGTGTTTTTTGACATTCAACGTTAAAGAAAATGGGGACCCAGATCTCGATTTATTTCACTATAGGGTCTGTTTTTTTTCTTTAAAATGCCATAAGGTTTGTGCTGATTGCAAAGTGTATACAATACATTTTGGACTACTCCACAAAATCATTATCTATTGGTATATAAAAAGTACTTATTATTATTATCATAGTGGGTAAATAAACTCAGAAAGAAACTCTAATTATGTGAATAACTAGAGGCCCGATGCACAAATTAATGCTTGGTTGTGGTCCCTCAGCCTGGCCAGCAATCAGGACCATCTTATCCAGTCCCAATTGGGGTCCTGGGGGCTGGCCAGTGAAGAAGGGCCATGGAGGGCTCCAGGGCATGGCCAGCTCTCTTGCCCAGTCTCAATTGTCCAGATCCCAACAGCAAGCTAACCTACTAGTCAGAGCATCTGCCCCCTGGTGGTCAGTGCATGTCATAGTGACTAGTCGAGTGAGTCAACTGATGGGTAGGACACTTAGCATATTACACTTTTATTATGTAGATTTCTTTCTCCCAACGGTATGTGTGCTCAGGTTTTACTTTTGATGGGGATAAAAGACCAATGAGCGTATCTTCCTGCTGCAGCACAAATCCTAGGCTCATCTTGGCTTTCTTTGACATTGATTGCTCAATCATCTGGTTGAAAAATCATTGAAAAGACTCAGGTTTCTAATGCAAACAAATCTGCCATATTGAAAGCAGTGGCAGCTGCAATCTATGCTCCTTTAAAATAGAACCTATAAATATAGATAAAGAAGGAAATGTTTTCTTTACAAACATTATTATTTTTTTGCATGCTACAGGCATAGCCTATAACACACTTGTCACACACAATTCTCTGAAGAACACATCACACAATAGAAAAAGCCACCTGTAATCTTCTAAGATGCTGCCTGAGAATTGTCTGCTTAATCCTGTACCATCATGCAGCAGCCTTCACAATAAGGGGTTTAAGATGTCACAGATTAAGAATGTCCCCAGCCCAGCCAGTATGGCTCCTTGGCTGAGTGTTGACCTATGAACCAGGAAGTCATGGTTCAGTGCCCCAGTTGTGGGCTCAATCTCCAGTAGGGGGAGTGCAGGAGGCAACTGATCAATGATTCTCTCTCATCATTGATGTTTCTCTCCCTCTCTCTCTCTCTCTCTCTCTCTTTCTCTCTCTCTCTCTCCCTTCCGCTCTGAAGTCAATAAAAAAATATATATTTTTAAAAGAATGTCCCAATATGTACTCCATGGTATAGATGAACCATCAGTTATGGAACCTGCTCTACAGTTTCTAATTTTCTGCTAGAGTAGGTTACCTCACTTCTGCTGGAGGAAGACCACCGTATTCCAGTAAAATCCATTCCTTTTCCATTGAAATGCAACTCCAGTTTCACCCAGGTTTTCCTCCTGACCACGTTTCTGTTTTGGTTCCAGATGTGATGAGTATGTCACCCAGTTGGATGAGATGCAGAGACAGTTAGCAGCCGCAGAGGACGAGAAGAAGACTCTAAATACTTTGTTACGAATGGCTATCCAGCAAAAACTCGCCCTGACCCAGCGGCTGGAGGACTTAGAATTTGACCATGAGCAGTCGAGACGCAGCAAAGGCAAATTTGGAAAGAGCAAGATCGGCAGCCCTAAAGTAAGTGGGGAGGCCTCAGGCACCGTGCCCACCATAGACACTTACCTCCTGCATAGGCAGGGCCCACAGACACCCAACATTCGGGGCAGCAGTGGCACTCAGAGGAAAAGGTATGCATGCAGCAATCTTCACAGTGTGGTGCAGTGGCCAGATGTTCGTTAACTGCAAAAATTGATGTGTTCTTATTGTGGAGGATGGAAGAAGGGGAGGAAGAGAAAAACTGGGAGTGGGTGTATAAATGGGCCTTGCTAATGTTGGTATTTTTTTTAAAAATCAAAACCGTTGGATAATTATGTTTATTTACTCATTTCTGTCCTTCACACCCCAACTTTTAATTAACCATAAAATAACTTCAGTGTCTGTCAACATTTTTGCTGTTTCTTATATGCACAAATATACCTCTCCCTTACCTCCAGCCTAAAAATTGGTAGATAAAAGATGGATATGAAGAAGGATGCTATGTTTTACATGGATGGTCAATTTAAAAATCATTGTACCTCTGCTAATGGTGCTTTTAGCAGCTTCTCTTTAATGGGGCAGGGATATGGGTATGTTCTCTGAGGGAACTTTTGTTTGTGTTACCAAAACGGACAGCCGACTAAAGGAGATGTCTATATTTAGGTAGAGTGGGACGGAATGTGTATAGTCTTTTTCTTTAAAGCAGGTTTTTGTGCATTTTCATTTGGTATGTGAATACTGCTCCAAGAAATCACGTGTAAGGTTGTCAGTGGCCTTTCTGACCTTTTTCCCAGAGTCCTGGATGTTGAATTACTTAACCCTCTATTTTCAGTTAATAGTAAGATTTTTTATTTTAGGAGCTTTCAGTAAGAAATCAAATAATATACATATTTTCTTATTTGTGGTTCAAACTAACTATAATAAATCTCTTTCTCAGTTTCCAATACAGTTTCTAAATGGGGTTGTATCCTGGTGTGGAAACTAAGCAATTAGAGAAAAAAATCTTGATTTACATGTTAAAAAAATTAAATGCCAATATGAGTAATGTTGTCATTGGTGAGGCTTTGAAAGGTAATTAAAGTAAAACTTTTTTGTTTCCTATATGTATTTTCTTGGATCTCCTGCAAGACAATTTTCACCTTCCCTTTGTGATCAGAGCCGTCCCAGGACTTCAGGGGCGTCCTACCTCCAGAATTTATTAAGCGTTCCCCCTGACCCCACCTCCACAGAGTCATTTCTTCTGAAGGGCCCCCCTTCCATGAGTGAATTCATCCAAGGGCACCGGCTCAGCAAGGAAAAAAGGTTAACGGTGGCTCCACCAGGTAAACATTTTTTCCTTGGGTGCATGTGACGCAAATGATGAGTTGAATAGACAGCTCTCCCCATCCTCCCACCCACTTCTGCCCTCCCATCCGCAGAGCCTCTGATGACGGGGAAATTCCTACCTTTCAACTAAAAAAACACCTTTACCCTTAGCCTCCCGGGTCCTCCTTTCCTCAGCCAGATGACCACCAGTTCTTAGGAATCTCCAGGGACTTCTGTTTAGCTAAGGTGACCAGACGTCCTGCTGTTGGTGGGACAGTCCCAGTTTTTAACAAATTGTCCAGCGTCCCGCAGCGTCTTAAAAAAAAGTCCAAAAGATTTAAAAGAATTTTTCCAAAAATCGGGACTTTTTTAAAACGCCACGGGACATGGGACAAATTGTTAAAAATCAGGACTGTCCTGCCAACAGCGGGACGTCTGGTCACCTTAGTAACCGCCGTGGATGGAAAGTGAGAGTTGGAAGGGATAGGATAGGTAACCAGAAACTTGCCGCAGGCAGGTGCAACGCAGGACACACACCTGTATCCTATTTGCCATGTGGCAGCTCATAGCAATTCCATCTTGGTCGTTTCGTTCTGATCATTTTTAACAAAAAGCCTTTGGGGCTCATTTCCTTTTTGTAGTGACTCAGAATGTTTCCTCCGTCATTACAGACAAAGTAAAATCCTCCGAGGTTTTGCTCCTCAGGAACATGCGAGTCTTGCTGTGATGTTCTTGCAGTTTGCAAGCCCATGTGCTCACAGCTTCACCATTTTGCATTTTTCTTTTTCTTTGGCCTATGAAGGGCCTCGATTGAAAATGTGATTTCTGGCAAATAAAGATAACAGAGGGAGCACACGAGGAAGCCCATGAAACAAAACAAGCCGAAAAGGCATCCATTTGGCCGTACAGGGAATGAAAAGTTACAGCTAGTTAAGTGAGTCATCAACAGTTAGAAACACAGAGAGTTCACATGGACACCTATGTTGAACGATTCTGAGCATCTGGCAGTCTTGAGTCTGCTTCATGCATGTCAGCAACCCGTTAGGACTGGGGGCCGGTTGCTGCTTTTACCTGGGCAAGCTTTGCAGTGGCCCCTTCCTCTTCCCTCTCTGTCACTGCACCCAGCCTGCTGCGCTCCTTTCTGTTATCCTCTGGTCCTTTCTGTAGCCTCTGAGTTCCCCACCTTAACCACAGCTTTTTTTTTTTTTCTTCCTTTCTTTCTTCAATTTACTTCTCAATGTAATTAATTTAATCCTACTTCATTTACTTCAATTTTACCTTAATTGCTTTTTGGAAACCTCAGCCTTTGGATCTCTGATACTTTTTTTATCTGACTCATGAAGCAGCCTACTGATTGGGATGAAAAGATGTGTGGAAATTTACAGCACGTTTTCAACATGCTAAGAATGTTTGAGGCAATCGGTAGTGACAATAAGCTGGAAGAGCCTGAAAGTCAAAATGTAAATCTAAAAAAATAAATAAATAAAAGGACAACAACTCCGTGGGTGTTTGTACGGCCACAGCTCATTTCCTATTGTCTTAGACCCTACTGGGAGGTACCTTGAAATACCTGTGAATTACCAACATGGTAAGGGTCCATTAAGACACCTACCTTGAATAAAAGCCCACAAGTCTTTTTAGTGTTCCACATAGATTTAGTTGCACTGTCTACTAGAACTTAGAAAAGAAGTTACATAATTAATGAGTGAGCCTAGTATTTTAATTTTAAAGGTGTCATATCAGTATGATTAAGAATTAATAATAAAGATGAACAATAGCTATTTTCAGTTTCTATGTGACTATTTGATCATTGTATTCATGAATATATGTTTTATGTTATTGTCATTACATTGTGGAAACCATTAACATTATATCATAAGCTTTTCCATGCTGCCTAGTCTTATTTTTATTTTTAAAGGTTGTATTATATATTTCATTGTAGATGCTATCACATTAATCACTACTTCCTCTCTTCTTAACCGCTGAGATGGTTCTTCATTATTTATCATATTGTTGAATACCACTGAGAATATCCTCATATATCCCACTCCTCGATTCAATTTTTTTCTTGAGTGAGATCACTGGGTTAAAAGTATGAGCTTCTTTATGTGTTTGCTCCATTCTGATATGCTGTAAAAAAGGGTATATCAATGTACTAAAAGCCCCACAAAACATTTTTCTCATTTTCACACCTTCTGATTCTTTCTACTTCTTTACACACACTTTACACATCTTGCATCTCTAAGGCTAGTTAACATACATGAATGAGAGTACCATTATGTTGTTTTTAACTGTTTAGTTTAAAATAACCAGAAGATGACATTGGACTTGGAAATTATTGTTATATGCAAGATTAAAGATACAAATAATGTGAAATTCAGAACCACCACTAGGCCAAAGAAGCACTTTCATGACAACAAATATATTATCATCATGTTTGATAATATATTTCAAATAAATTGTTAAAAAAAAAAACCTTTTATTTTTAGCAATTTATTTGAAGTTAATAATAAAAGAGGGGAGTAAGTAACATTGTTAATATATCCCAAGGAATTTTCAATTGTATATCATGAAATCAACCAGATTAGTCCCAAATAAATTCTTAGATCAATCCAGCAGCATTTTCTAAAAGATTCCAGTTAAAGGAATTACTGTAGAAACTGAGTAACTGTCTATACTAAATCGTATCTTCTAAAAATATTTGCATTATAAAAATAACTATATGTTATTTTTCTACACTGAATTATATTGGGTAAGATGTAGTAAATATTATTTATGATGTTTTTGCTATATAAAATCTTTTAATTAGGCTGAGAAAAGAAAAATATGCCACATGTAACCAGTCCTAGGCTCTTTGCAAGAAATATCTTAAACCCATGGGAAGTAATCAATTTTATGAGTATTTTTTACTTGTAGATTTATGTTATTGATTATTATAAAAGTTAATGGTAGTAACAATATATAGTCATCATTTTTAAAGGACAATCCACTGTTAATTTATCAGAATGGTTTTTGGTAAACCTCATCTTCTAAAATATATTTTTAATATATCTTTCCAGGTAATTTAAATTAGTCTAATAAGCACATAAATGGGTTGTTTTTCTATTGAGGATCACTGAATCAATAAAATGAAATTAATTTAGTTTGGCTCCTTTGGTTGAAGAATTGATAGAGCTATAAATCACATTAAAAATTTTAAGGCACAGCCTAGCTGGCATGGCTCAGTAGTTGAGCGAGCATTGACCTATGAACCAGGAAGTCACGGTTCAATTCTCAGGCAGAGCAGAATCCTGGGTTGCGTGCTTGATCCCCAATATGGAGCGTGTAGGAGGCAGCTGAACAATGATTCTCTGTCATCATCGTTGTTTCTCTCTCTCCCTCTCCCTTCCTTTCTGAAATCAATAACAATATATTTAAAACTATTTAAGGCACAGAATGTAAAATATTACTTGCCATATATAATTTACCATGAAGATTGTCAGCAGCAAGCCCCAACTTCTTCAAGGCACAATTTCTCAATTTCTGGAGAATCAACTCTAGGATGGGGCATTTATCTTAAACATTAGTAGAATGTTTTGTCCTAATTGATTAGTACCTTGTACTAATTGATTTACAACCTTTTAGAGGAAAATTCTGGCCCTTGCCTTTAGCTTTGGCTCCGTCTCTGCTGCCTCGGCTTCTGAAATTCTGTTTCTGCGCATGGCTTGTTGGCTTTTTTATTCTTGACTTTATCCTTA